CAGAAGTTTATCTTTTTCAAACGGACCTTTGAATTGGCTTGTAATACTTGATTGAACTTGCGTGATCGTGCCATGTTAAAAGAATTTCTAGCTTGACACGCACGGTTGAGAGAAAAAAGGTTCTCGGCACGCAATGCTTGTTTTGCCGCTTGATTTTTTCCTCTTTCCATTTTTTTTCTTTCTTCTGCCCCCCACAGCAGCTTTTAAAATTTCTTTCTATGCCTTTTAACAAAAAAACAATAAACAGAACAAATTCAGGAGTACAATTATCGTCAAAATTGTTGGGAAGGCTGTTTTTTTTTACCTCTTTTTTTTCCCTTCCTTCCCCCGCCCCTGGCCCAATGTTAAGCAAGACGTTATTTTTTGTGATCGTAATTTTTCTGTTCAATATCCCAACATTGAATGGGGGGACGGGGGATATTTAGCATAAGAGAAAACTTTCCTTCGTGACGATGAATATAGACTACTGTTAAGTTGTACAACCTTCCCAACTACTTTTAACTAGCTGGGATTGTAGTGCGTCGTTATTCAGAGGGAAGCTGCGGAGAGACAAAAAAAAGCCGAAAGGAGAGAGAGCCGTAGCAATTTGGTTCACTCGATTTCTGGATTACAGGTTAAGACGGATTGGGGAATCCATCAAGAACTTGACTAATTTTAATTTTCATGTGAACAAAAACCTTGTACCAGAATTATTTAAAGCATATTACATTGATTTATTACAGGTTTCAAGGGCTATCGATGAAACTAATAATTTTTAATAACACCAAAGGATATTTCTTATGGGAGCGCGAGAGAATAAACTTCCAATTTCACAAAATGATCTTGCACATAATATTTTACCTGTGTTTTCACAGTTCCTGTGAAATTTGAATCTTATTTTCTCGGGCTTCCATGAGAAATTTTCTTTGGTAACACTGCAGTGAAATCCCACCTTTTGTTGGGCATAACGACATTTTAAGAAGCAACTGTAGACTTAATAGGACCACATGCCAATGAAACAAACTAACAGTTTTCTCGGGACTGCGGTACGCCCCTCCCCCTCCCCCTTCATTCCTCTTTTTGCTCTCGTTCCAATTTTCTCCACGATCTCGCGCGGAAACACTTGCTCGGTGGGGCGACTCGGGAAATACAGCCAAATATCTTTCCAACGCATAAAAGCCTACTTCATTATTTTTTAAGAAACCTAAACTTAAAGAAATTGAATCAAGTCACAACTCGAAACCAGGAGCTGCCCCGGATATAACATACTAAAAAGGGCAAATCAAAACCTGAAACAACAAAACGAAACGAGCGAAACGGTCGTAACGATCAAAACGAAATCACCACAACAAGCGTAACGGCCGAAACGACCAGAGCGGCTCACGAAAACAAGCAAAACGGCTGAGACGACAACACAAAACCACCAGTATAAAAATCGAAAAAGAAGCAAAAGCTAGAATATATAGATTAAGTTGTCGCTTATCTCCTCTAGCTCACTTGGATACTTCCTAAATACGGCCGATTTTACGAAAACTGTTCAACAGAAAGTTCGTCAGTATCAGTACCTGGTTATTGGCACACCGGTCTGTAAGTGATCCCATCTTCAAATAGTCTCCTATGCAGCTGATCTTATATACTTTTCGCACGCCAGCTCATACCGCGAAACGTAGCCCCTGCTCGCAGGGTACCGTTGAGCACTCAGCCATAACTACATACGACTGGTACTCAGTTTAGTAAAAGCCGGAATTGACGCGCGCGTACGAGTAACGCGAAGTATTGTCAATTTTCTAGTTCTTTATGTCGATAAAGGCGATAGAAAATTAGCGTTTCTCATGTAGGGTAATCATATTGAACTTTCTACATTTGCAATGTCTCTTTTCGATCGAAGTTTAAAATATCAAAATCAGCGAACGCTGAATAAAGGATGACCGTAAGATTCAATCGCAGGGCCAATTTTTGTCGATCAGTCATTTCAATGCCCGGGGTGCACTGTCCATTTTAAAGTGAGAATAGCATCTATGAGCCTAAATTTCATGGCAAATGGAAGAAAAAAAATAGCGTAGCGCGCGAGTGGCGTCAGAGTGACTAATTTGCAATCTTTGTCTGAGTTTTGCCATTTTTCTCGTTTTAATGACAAAAGTCAGACAAAAGTGAAGAATTCACTAAATGTTAATTTCAGTTTGTTTGTTGAGTTTTGGATCTATAAATAGTATTAAACTGCGCGCGGCGCTACATCAACCACGCCAACGAAGCGAGGCTACAGCGAGGTGGAACAGCTGCTACGTCACGTGATCCTTTGATAACAAGTGCGTTCTTTTTTGGAGGGAAAATATGCTTGTTCCTGAAATCTAAAAGCTTCATCAGTACTACCAGTATCCAATAAAATGACTTCATAGAAGTGACTCAATTACAATCAGTTGACTTACAAGTTTCAGTGTATCGTGACTCACAAATAAGATGGAAGCAAATAATTAGCAATTATTGGATGAATATCTTTTTTATTGTTTTCGACCTAAGGTGGGTAGTTTCTTCTAATAACGGGTTTATTTTTCGTGACTTTTAGAGAAATTCGCGGGATGCCACTGAAATTCGCTTTTCGCTCGTTTTTCGAGCTACGAGAAAATATTAATACAGTCTTTCGTGGAATAAGTGCCGCAGGGCACCGCGGTCTAATAGCTACCATCAGCCAAAGTTTGAACGGCCAAAGAAGTAGGCCACATGGTAGATTGATCAAGTCCCTCCTCTCGCTCGCCTCCCTGAGAGAGAGGATCCCAAACCGAGGATCCCTTTCTTGTTTGTGAAAGGTTATTGAATCACACTGTCGTGACCTTGTATCATAGAGCTTAAACAAAGAATCCAATACCTCACTTTTCATATCCTGACTTATTTGATGTGATGACTTATTCCAATTGATTGACGGCAAAGTCACGTGATGATCATAAGAAAATTTGAATCTTTTTGCTTGTATTTTCAGGCTTTTAAGCACCCGGTAGTTTGGAAGGAGGGGGACATGATAAGGAAGTAGCAAAAAGCCAAGACTACAGTGCAAAAATCCAAAAGAAAATAGCCAAAATCGATTGGAATTTATGACCAAAACGGCTGAGCCTACTAAGCCCATATTAGGGAGTGCCCCCCGGGTCAAACAACAACATAACCTAGTTTAAAGGTGAAAGTCAAGAATATACTTCACATCATAACCTAGTTTGCAATGAAATTCATTGACTCAGAGGGAAGATTGAGTGTCATGCAGCTTTAGAGAAGGCCAAAGATCCGTATGTCTGTGATATTTTTAGAGTTCGCTGCTGACATACCGTGACCTCATAAAACGCTTAATTAATAAGGGAATATCAAAATATGAACTAAATACTTCACGCCTGAAAGCTGCTTAAAGATGAATGCTTTTGCACTCGTCATCCACCGCACTAATAATGTTTTGCTTCCAAAATACCTGTAGAATTTAATACTAAATAAATAATTTTATGCCATTTATAAATATAGGACTTTTTGAATCCTTCAGTTTTGAGCTCTGCTAGTGTGAATTTCCGGTGTTTAAAACATTGTCACGAGTCTGGGTTTTGTTAAATATGCGAATGTCATCTGTGGCGAGTTTTCAAGCTATCAAAGAAGCTAATTATTCAGTTTTGCTTACTGAGTATATCCCCAATTTTCTCTTCTGTGTGCCATATTATTTTATTTGCTAAAAACCTCAAGAAAAGTGACCATAAATGTTAGTTTTTAGGACTCAATGTTATGAGTTTGAAACCGAACTCCGTAGACGGAAAGTTGCTGCTGGTTGTGAGGGCGGAAAATGATAGGGCACTTGAACGGATTATCAGTAGTTTACTTCTAAGCACGTGCTAAAAACATGAAAAGATCTGTCTGACGACTTCCTTGTTCCTTATACAAATAGTAAAAATTGTACTGGTGCTCAGACTTAAGTGCTTAAATGATAGCAGAAATTAAAATTATGCAACGCACTTAGACTTTCAAAGCCTTAATAGCTGCTCCATCATAACAACTTTCGACGAATTCTGTCAGATCAGTCACGCCGCTTTCGCTATAGAATGAAACTTTTCTTTGGCACTTTCCTTTTCGTAGCCTGCGAACAGCAGACATATTTCCGGTCGTCGCTTCTTTCCCTCCCGCAAAAACCGAAAAATGCGTCTGTTCCCCACGGGCTATCCTTTTCGGGGCTCACATTTATTTTCCATCCTTTGTTAAGATATTATTCGCATTTGCACTTATCCTTCCCATAGTTACTGACTGTGGCCTTTCTAAGCTGAGCTAGCTTTGGATTTTGATCTAAGTTTATTTGTGATTTTAGTTTGACGTCTCAGAATGAGACCTGGTGATTGAGCGATTGAGGGATAATATGTCCTGTTTATTTCAAGGCAGGTGAACTTTTTATGTGAGGTGGGGGATTCCGGAGGAAACTCACGTTAAACTTTAGAACCAGGTTTTAATCGGTTGTGGGCTCCTGTGAGAAAAGTCTCAATCTTTCAGTTCAGTCCAGTGCAGATGTCGTATTCTTATCGTGACGTCGCAGGTAAAATGAGGCACGTGATCATGCTGAACCTTTTCATTGGCTGGTTCAATCTCGCGCCAAGAACAAATTTCGACAAAGGAGCCTTGCACAGCAGTCTTCAATCGATCTGTCCTGCTGTAAACACCCTTTCCTTCTCCATTTTTTCGTTACAGTTTTTCTCCCCGAGGATATCCTTCCCGTAAATCTGTGATACATCAGCGAGCTACTTCTTTGTCGATCGTTCCAGAAGTCTGAAGAGTTTAGAGTGATTTTTCGGTGAGTAACACGTTTCGGAACAACACGATGTGTTCTGTCGTTGGCGCCAAATTCAGCTTTCGCGCCGTTTACATGCTTTCATAAAATTTCCGTTTTCAACGCAACCAAGGAATAAGTGAAAGCTATCTTATCGTGACTGGATAGTGGTTCGAAATATACTATCGCTTTGCTTCTTTTCTCAGTTACAAGCTGATTTTACTTGAATACTCCGCGATAAACAATGGAAAGCCCGCCAAGAAAAACCACGGTTAATCTCGAAGACAGTGGCTGTGTTGTAGATGGATTACGCAGTGCTCTTAGCGACGAAGGTGAAGATGAAAACTCCATGATGGTATGTCATCATATTATCCTCCTTACGATATATTTTATTGGTTATTTTAGACCTTTCATTTGTTTATAATTGCGACCACGAGGAGTAGAAAGAATGAATAGACTCGAGCGTCCCACGTGCGTTAAAACTTTCGCTGTAAATTCATAGCCTTACCTATCTATCAAAACTAGACAAAGCCTTCGAGTTAAAAAATCTTCGTTCTAACCTTGAAAGATCGCTGAAAATTTATGTTAAGCATTTTTGTCGTATGGTAATTCTTGCCGTATTGTTCCCGCTTTCGTCACGGTTGTACGAGTTCATTGATATTTCTGCATGACGTCACACGCTACTCCCACGACCACTGACTTCTACTCACAACTCTTCGTATCACCACGTGCTCTTAAACATTTACCGTCGAGTTAATGTTTGAAAAGTTGTGCTAAATTTCACAGAAACACCCATTCTGCTAAGATGACTTCGGTAAGTGTATCTTGACTTATATTTTCGTTTGTCTTACTTTCAAATGATAATTGCAGAATACGAAGTCGAAGGGCATTGAGAGATAAGCTTATATTGGTTGAAGACCAGTATAAAGCTACACTCTAGTAATGTGATTCCGTTTCTTGGTGCATTTGGTAAAAGCTTTGCATCATTTCATTTTATCCACAATTTACAAATACGAGGAATAGTCTTTTATTATAACTTAACTATCTTCTTCGAATAAAGAGTTCCGCTAGACTGCACGATCAAGCCGCCAACATTTTTGATTTTTGATCCGTTGGGTTATATGCTTCTGATCAAGCACACTGGGGTTTCATGTCAGACAGACGTGTTTTTTTTACTTTGCTTTGTAAAGCGTGTTTCATCTTCTTCAACCAGCAATCTCGCTCTTTTCCTTGAGAAAGAGAACCATTATTTGCATTTCATTATATTTTTGGAGGCGATTTTGCTAAGTTTATTACGCAACATTTCGTTGTGAATTTACCGAGCTTGAAGTGAACAATAAGCTCAATTCTTGTTACGAAAGTTTCTATTGGTGAAGTGTAACGAGAAACAGATGAATCTGATACTTTAGATACAAACGCGGTCATGGTAAATGCGAGGAATTTGTGGATTATTTGTCGTTCTCTGCTACGGTTGGTTTGTTCTGCACCACTGTTTTAGCGTCGCTGAATTCGCTAACATTGTGGAACGAATATAATTAGGTGAAAGTCTGCTTACTTCGGTGATCCAAATGCACCTTCAACAATGCAGTTTGTCCTGTTTTACATTTTTTTCAAGAAAATTGCAGCGATAGCCATTTTTCTTTTATATGTGTTTTCAATACCTTATCCGCTGATTTTCATGATTTGTTCGTTCGAAGTACAAATTATAATACTTTATTGTACTCTTGTAAGGTGTAAGCGAAGTGCTAATGAGTAGCCGCGAGTAATTAAGTACGGTAGTGAAACCTGTATTATAAACCCTCTGTAATTCGAGCAATACCCCAAGTCCCAAATTTGCTCCCTCAATTACTTTGAGTGAAACGTTTACAAAGCAGACACCATCAGGTGAACATAGACACCTAAAAAGTGGATGAAGTGGTCATTTCTGTGGATACAAGCCTGTTTGAACAGACACTGATGATGGCATTGATCAGCAAAAGCTCAGATTTTAACTTAATTTTTAATTTAACAGCAAATAAAGGCCTCACTCGAACAACAATATTTTACTTTCAAACTTGACGCTGAAGTCATGGAAAGATCATTCACAGCTGTAATATTAGACTCCGCGACTACAACATTCCAGACACCGGAAATGTATGAAAGTTGTTTATTTTTAGAATTAAAAATGCGACTTCACGAAAAGATATATCCAGGGGGGCTGGCAGCGAGGTCTGGAACCGAGTTTCCATGATCGCCCCAGTTAAGAAATTCGGCTGAGTGAGACTGAGTACAAATTTTCCTTGAAAACAAATTTGGTGGAGAATGCAGACATGGAAGGATGATGAGTTTTTGCTCGGTTTTAAGTTTTCCCGCATACAAATATCAAGAAAAGGTTTCTATGAACTTTTTTAATGGACCTTTAGGACATCAGGAGGCGTGATGTATGAACAGTTCATGGGTGACTTCACTTATCGTGATTTGGGATCTCGGCAAGTTCAGTTATTTTTAAGCTTTGTGAATTTTCGAACGACCATCTTGCTCCATCTCTTATATTTTTCTACTTACAGTGGTATTAAGACTCTCTTCCTTATCTTAAACATATGCTACGAGCACAATATATTGGTATGAGTCTTGCAACAGTCATATATGATGGTTCATTAAACCACTGATTTTCTATTTCGCTGTTCGTAAGTTTGTTGGGAGGCACAAAAATTAATATTTATGGGCGTAAATACAGAGTACAGAGCCAATTTAGTAACTTTGCTTCACATGATATACTGGGTCTGTCAGTATAAGTTATTTTTAATATCAGAAGGCTGGGAGGGGTTTACTAAACCTTCAAAACCTTCACTGGAATGTCATTGGAGTGATAATCAATAAATTTCCAACAGCAATACCATATTTAGTAGTTTTGTATTAGTGACTTCGGTTTCAAGTATTTACTTGAAATTGTTGGTACAAAAATTACCCTTTAGGTATGAATTATACTTGAAATGATTATAGTGGTTTCGTGTAAGAACAAGAGGCTAATTCAGTTGCTAATAAGAGTGAGTACATCAGGAAAGAGTATATGTTGCGAAAATCCCTCAAAGAACTGAAGTACAAGAAGCAGAAAAAAGAAAACTGAATGTTTTGCAAAGTTTATAAAGAGAATCAGAAGAGGCTTGAAAAATATATAACTTAAGTTTATTGTTTGTGTAAGTTATGAATGTGATTTACAACTAAATTATACAAGGTAAAATCTGGTAAAATTGATTTTTTATCAACCATCAAAAGATGTTATTGTCTGGCTTGAGCCCTATCCTCTCAGCAGTTCTTTCTACGATACTACCCTTGGCTTATTTGACCTAAATGTGTATGTGCTGCTGATTTAGGGTGGTGACCATTTCACCCTTTAGAGTTTTGAACCAGGTGTCTGTTTGGGATGTGAAGGTTGAAGAAGAAGCAGTCTATAGAGTACAGTCTACTGGTACCATCATTCCCCCCCTCCAAGTTTTGCCATGTTTCTATGTTTAAAAGCTACCTTAATTCTGTATGCTAAAGGAAATGAACCAGGATTATAAAATAAGGTCTCTTGGTTTAAAAAGGGTAGGGAAATGTACAATGTGTCCTAATTAAGCCATACTCTCTTTCAGTGTAAGCCCAAGGAGGTGATCTCACATTTTGATTCCCTTTTACCACTTGTTGCTGCAGGGTTCTCAATAGGGTTTGTAGTAGGCGTCTGCCCAACCTTAACTAGGTGGCTGTGACTAATAGGGGGGCGTTAAACCTAGGAAGGAGTCTGAGGCATGTTCCCGAAGTAACCATGTTTTACCGTGAAGGGCTGGGCCAAAGTCAATGTTGCATACTCGGATGTCTACGTGGCTGAAAACATGGCGGTAGTTAAGTAAGGAAGCACTAGCGAGTTTACTTATTTGGTCTCGATTGTTTTGATTATTTTGCACAATATATGACAAGGAAAACTCAAAATCAGATGAAAGGGATAGGCAGAAGACTTGAGGACAAATAAAAAAGAGAAAAGCAGCAAAAAGAATGCAAAGTAACCGGCTACCAATTCCAAAGTAAGTGGCGATCAATCGCCGGGTGCCGGCTTTTATTGAGAACCCTGTTGTTGTAACAGCAAAGTCAGTGAAGGTTTATGGTCTCTGAAAAAGATTTTTGCCAGCCTCAACACAAGTTTCTTACTGATATTGTTGACTGCAAATAATATTATCTTAATAATCATTTTCCATTTTTTTCCCAAGGTATTCTATGGTGTTTTCAATATCCACTAGTACAAGGCAATTTTTAAGTTGAGAGGGTTTACTTTGATTTCATTAACAGTAAACTACATTATTACACAGACACAAACTGACCTGGCAGGTTGATGTCCAAGGGTGTAAAACATTACATGCCACTATATGGCAAAAACTGATCACAGTGGCCAAAGGAAAGGCAAAAATAGAAATGTCATCATTTTTTTAATTTTATAAATTCCCTTTGAAGCATATTTAGCCAGATGTAGTCCTTGTCAAAACATGCAAACTTGAACATTTATTTTCTGACCTTAGCTAATCTTTTTTAAACCGTACTCTTGTTCCCCCTGAGTGGGTAGTGTAGTTTTTGGAATAAAATATTTATAATTTCTCCCTCTTTGTTTGCCAAAAAACAAAACACAACTGAATGAGGACTCAAACTGAAGGCAGTGTAGTAACCGCTGTCATGAAAAGAGAATTCCAAACACACAAAATAATTACCCTTTCATTTGCCTATATTCATTTCTTAGAAACTACGGTAAAGTTTAAATTAAATCATATGAAGATAGGAACTTAAGCATATCAAGAGTGAATGATCTCTTGGCAAAATTTATTTAGCTTCTAGTACATAACAGAATACATGAACTACAAGATTTGAACATATGCCACTCAGTCATCCAACGCAACTCTGCCAGGATAAGTTCACAATCAAGGATGAAGAATTCAGAATCTCAATCATCATTTCTTTTCGTCTTAAAGGTGTAATAAAACCGTAAACAACTCTGACAACTCTTCTACTTGACCACGGCCACCGCGCTTTTTTTAATGTCACGAAGGATTAATTTTCGGCCTTTCACTTGAAAATATAAACTCTTCTACATACGCGTTGGAGGGTTGGCCCTTCTTCTAGTCTTGGGAGTCTTCTAAACAGAAACACAGCTTAAAGCCTGCAGTGAGCCAAAAGGTCGGGCATTGAGGAACATGTACATGTACAATGACTGTTCACTGGTCTCGTTCTTAGTGTAGTAAACCGCATGTAATGACAAACGCAAGACCAGAAAGGAAAACGTAAGCTCCACATTACTGAGGAAAAAAAATCGGTTACAGCGAAGAAAGCAATGACCAACAGGACCAAAAGCAAATTTACTTCACACTGTTGAATCGCTGCGAAGACGAACTTCTTGATGTTGTTGTTTGTTCAAGCGCATTTTGCGCATGCTCGCTACAGTTCTCGAATGATTGACAGATTTCTTAACTGGGGCGATCATGGAAAGTCGAAAAGCGGCAAGATCAAAGGCCGTTGCCAGCCCCCCTTGGATATATCAATTTCTGTCTATTTTTCTGTCAATATGCAGTGAAATTCTACAGTGTGAGAGCATTCAATTCATCGCATTTGCTTCTTGAAATTTTTGCTGAAAAATGTGGTGTGAAGCTGGTTGAGCCATTTTCTGGTACCAGTCTGCCCAAAATGTTGTTTACAAGTTGATAAATAGGCTGGTGTTTATTCCTGATAGTAAATTTTATCCACTAAAAAACAGGGAATTGCTGCTAGACAACTACCATATATATAATAAACAATAATGATAACAATATATATATAAAGTCAACTCTAGATTTTGAAGAAATTTGTAAACCTCAGGCTGACAGGTCCAAAACTTAAAGGACTGAAAAGTGTTGAGTTCTGATAACTATTTGGTTCTAACAGTATTTCTTTGATACACTCACTTCGGAAAACCCATACAGTGGCAGTAGCCAAAATTTTTCAGATCAAAAGTATAACTAAATGTAACAATAAACGCAACCAGAAAATTCTCATAGAATCAAGAACCAGTTGTAGAATCAACCAACACTCAAGTTTCTCATGTTTGATATTTTGAAATTCTGCATGATAGCAAGCCATAAGGGGTACAAATAAAGATAATGATTGTACATTGATAGTGGGATATTGGGATATAGTTCCTGAGGGGCTAAGAGATGATTATGCTATTTGTGAGAGTGTTTTGTGGACAAGCATAATATTTGAACCTTTTGATTGTACTTGCACATTGGTTGGTTTTGCTGGTAATAATATAACTTTTGTAATAATTAATGCTGATGTGCTTTTTTCCCATTTCCTTCTTGTAGCTTGATCATTTAGAGATGTCAGGTGTAAATGAGTCCAAGTCTAGCCTGAAGCCGAACGATGGCCATACCAATCATCAAAAGAAGTTTTACCACGCTATTGTTGCAAAGTGGGAAGACTCACCCGAGATGAATAAGTTGAGTGACCTGTGGGAACGGCATGGTATGACTGTGATCATGATCTGTGTCACTGTTTTACTGCTGATCTACAGCGTTGTAGCAATAGCTGTTAGTGGATTTGAGCACGCTAAGTGGCTCTTTGGCATAACAATGTTTCTGTGGTTCTGCATGACATACATGTTTATAAGGGATCATTGTGGAGCTGACATATTCAGAGTGTGTATAGAACCTATTGTGAATGCTGTGGAAAGCCGGTGGCGGTATTTGAAATGGTATGTACATGAAACACTTTTCTTTTACGTGACTGTTGTACTGTAGACCTGTACGATATTATATATACATGCAAAATTGAATTCAAAATTTTGATGTAAACAAACCAGATGGTTTACATGTTATAACTTACAATATATAGTGGCAGATATGTTAGTTCAAGTCAATTTAGGAAAGAATAATCAAGTGAAAAACAAAAACTTAACAATGGATTATTCTTAAAATTTATTATGAGACCGTGAAAAGAGTGTTTCTAGAAATTATTAATACAGCGGGACCCTGCAGTCTTACCATTATTTGTGACTAGTATATTATTAGTATATTTTTCTGACCAAAATTTTTCCGGGAATGCAGGTATCATAAAGAAAACCAGTCATTTTTAATCTGACAGCCTCATTAATTGGCCAGATTTTCATGGTCCTGTACTTTATCAAACACAATCCCGGACATAACTACTTGAGAACGTTTTTTCATTGATGTGGACTAACTTTCTCAACAAAACTGTTTCCAAATCAAGGGCTTTGGATTAAGTAAATCCCCTCCCCTAAAAAAGCCCAGGGATGATGCTTTTTGAAGACACAACAGCACTGCTTTCAAGGGGAGGGACAAAGAATTGCTACAGCTACGGTGTTTAGAAATTAACTGCTCTTTAAAGGCGATTTTTAGCGTAACACAGCGTTGCAATGTTGGAACAATGTTGTAACTATTGGAAATAATGTTGCGACAGTATTGCAACACTGTGTTGCGCTAAAAATCGTTGTTGCGAATTGTCTCATGTAACATCACATGCAATTTTCTCAGGAGTAAAGGCTTTATAGTAAGTTGTTCAGGAGGTGTTGCTCATTGTTCATTTGCGTGACTTTGTGTTTCATTCCAGGGTTTTTCTTGTGCTTGTTTTGGTGGCTCTTGGAATTTTCTTTGGACTTGACACTGCAAAGCAGCCAGAGCGGTTTGTTTCTATAGCGGGGCTAGTTGTTAATATCCTGTTTTGCTGGTTGTTTTCCAGACATCCTAGAAAGGTGAGATGTGAACCTTTCCTTCACAGTTCTTGCAGTTTTCTATTTAGCTCTCCTCTTTTGCAGTTCCTGTGTAGTATGTTACATGTATCTTATCTAGATGATCTCAGTGTTCACTCTAGGCTGCATTTTTGCCTCAGTGACGTGGAATATTCCTCTCTGACACATATTGGAATGCAGTAAAAGACCCACATATAAAAACTTAGAATTTTCGACATCAGGCTGAACAGGGTCTCAGGGTTGTCAATAAGATTTACAGTTGCCAGGCAAATATAAAAAGTAGGCGGGGAATCAAACAGCTAGGGATTTCTCTTCTTTCTATTTTTCTTCCATTTTCCTTTGAAAGTAGCCGGGGGCCATGTCCGTAGTAGCCGGGGAAAATCCCCGGCCCCCACCTCTTAGTGACAGCCCTGGGGTCTTATATGTGAGGGTACTTTTTCACAATTCAGGCTGATAAGGTTCTTAATAGGTTCTTATTTTCCAGCTGTTGTCATAGTGTACCCATTGGCAGAAATATATTTTAGATTTTAAATTGTCTATATTGAACTGAGACTGGAGCATACATTCAAGTTTTTGCTTAATACATTGCTTTGCCGATGGATTCACAATTTGTTCCTTTGTTTTTGTTTCATTCTGAAACAATAAAGCTAGGTTAATTTTTTACGCAAAGGAGGATGGCAGTTTAATCTGAAAGGCATGAAGATGGGCTTGGGAAGTCATTTGTTTCATACAATGTAGTTAGACCCAGACCATTTTTGAAATGAGCAAATGCTACTTGTATGTGGGACATATAGCCCACTTTGATTAAATTTCTAGGTTGAACACTGTGATCTTGCAATAGCTGACTTGTTTTTATCTTAACTACAGCACAATGTTCATTCTTATTGTAGCAAGCATTTTAACCCAACTCATGCACTTATAATTATTACTAAGGTAAACAATTCATGTGTCACGTCTTCTCATAGTTATAGATTGCTGATGGTTAAGAAGCCCACAAGGACTTTTTTGTTATATGTTTTTGTGGACCTGACGGTGCACAACATTCAATAGCATTGTTAGTAGTAGTAATAATTAGTTAAGAAATAACTTAAGAGAAAAAAGGCAAAAATAGTAAAACTAATATAGCAATTCCAATCATTTTGATCTTATTGGCCAGTAAAAACATCACATTAATAATTATTTATTTATCCCCAATTTCTGAACAGAAACAAAGGATTGTGCACCATTAAGGAGCTTCCAAATAAACTGCAACAGCATTGTTTTATCTTTGATGTTTGCAGCTTTTCATAACCAGTCTCCTCTTCTAACTACGATCTTCTCAATTTCTCCCTAACTTGGTTCATTCTGACAGGGTGTGTTGTAGGGTACAACATAGTGTGATTTCCACAGTTTGAAAACAAGTTAGATGTCAAGTCATCTCAGTAAATGTTAAATTAATGACATCACAGGTGGCACAAAGGCATGCTCTCCCACCTGTGAATGTGTTAAAAAGAGTAGTCAGTACAAGTCAGCTAGTACGTAATATAGTTTTAATCATGTGACTATCTCTTTAGGTTAAGTGGCGCCCTGTTATTTGGGGACTGGCTTTGCAGTTCATTTTTGGTGTCCTCATTCTGCGGACTTCCGTTGGCTTCAACGCATTCAAAGGACTTGGAAACCAAGTCTCCGTATTTCTTGATTACACCAATGTGGGTGCTGAATTTGTGTTTGGAGCTGATTACACAAAACACTTCTTTGCTTTCAAGGTACCGTTTTATTTTATTATTGACCTGCATGTTAAAAAATTTAGTTTGATGGACTGAATTAATTAAGTTAACTCAACACTTTAAAAGAATTAAAAAGTTTTTAGAGCTAAGCCTTCCTCATTTTGACTGATGAAAGGGCTAGCCCTCCATAAGTTATCTTTTAGATATTTTTGTGGTGATTAATTGAACTTTGCCATACAATGTAGCAGGCAATGTGTCCATTCTAGCGGTACTTGCAGGGGTTTGGATAAGAATTGAAGTAGCCAGCAGGTTTGATTAGAGTAACCGACTGTATCAACAAGGGGCCAGTAGTCCACGTTTTCATGCGGTGTCTGGGAGAATGCTCCCTCAGACAATGTTTAAATTGCAAAGCCTTCATACGCAATTTCTAGTACTGATCGAGAGGACTAAACTGAGCGCAAAAGAGCAAATTATTTGGATTCCAGCTGTAAGTCAAATTTTGATGTACCGTCAACTCCCGACAACTCTAACCTTCAAGGGAAATCAAAAAACGTTTGAGTTAGAGGGAGTTCAAGTTATCAGGAGCTCAGAAAAAATAGTCGGGAGTAAGGAAAAAAACAGTTTTTACTGCACAGTGAACATTTTAATCACAGTTAATTGTAGAAATGTTAAGTGAAAATATTATTGAAAGATACTTCTAGATTGTAAATGAGAACGTAATGTAACAAAACAGTGCCTAAATAGAGCATGCGTTTTACTGTTTTGAGAAGTAAAACTGTTTCATGTTAGATTTGTGATAAACAACATCAACCTCCACTAGTAAACTATATGCCTACAACACGTCAATGGGAAACGCAAAATTCAATGTTTTGTCTGCCAGTAGACTGTTTTTTCCCTGACTTTTTAAGGGGCTCAAAACGTGGTTTGAGTTATCAAGGGTAAAATTATATTGAAATGATCTGAGGGGAAACAAAAACTACTTCGAGTTACTGGGAGGTTCGAGTTATTGACGGTTCGAGTTACTGAGGGTAAAATTACAGTAAATGTATGATGAAAATCCAGGAGAAAATGATTTTGGTTTGAGATAGCACAAGGTTCGAGATATCAGGAGTCAACTGTAATATTTAGCCGCACAATATTAACACCTACATGTACAAGCAATGAACAAAATTAATGATAATTACTAAGTTACGTTCATTTTTGTGTGAACAAATTCTATTTTTGCCCTGTGACATTATTCAAACTATACTGTAATTGCTTCTTCTTTGGGGGAAAAAAGTAGCAGACTTCCCTGAGCAATGTACCCGATGCGTTTCGTCGGTCATTGGTGCTTCATGCTTGAAACCCCTGACTGGCATGTCTTCTTTATTTCTTTCTTACTTAATTCTAAAATTCACTTTTCATGGCTTTTGTAACAATACTATCACTGATATGTGTCTATTTACCACATAGCAAGATTAATTATTAATTATTTGTGTATAAATTACACCATCATTTATTATGAGGCTATGAGGCTTCCAAAGTCTTACTTTTTATCTGAAGGTTGTGTGGATCACACAACGTCTAATCATGTAACTGTGACACTTGTTTTGGCAAATTTTCCTTTATAGATCAGCTCAAAAAAAAGTCCACATTAATTGTTAAATTGTGTTACCCATTGGCGAAGTTAAGAACATAATTCACTTGTCTGATGGCAAAATCCACTAGCCCTGGGCTTTCGGACACAATTTTCTTTGTCACTATGTAGTGTACTACTTAAATTTTTAGCAGACTGTATAATTTTCTTACGTGAATGCTGTGTCATGTTTTACTTTGCAGGTTCTTCCTGTTGTCATTTTCTTCAGTTCTGTGATCTCTGTTTGTTACTACATTGGTATAATGCAAGTGGTAATCAAGAAGATTGCGTGGCTCATGCAGAAGACCATGAAGACATCTGGTGTAGAGTCTTTGAATGCTGCTGGTAACATTTTTATTGGGCAGGTGCTGATATTTTTAATATATACATTTAACAATTAGTTCATGCATCAGTTGCGTTTGTCAAGATATTGAACATGCAGGAATTTTGGAGAGCACAAAAGAAGTGTAAGAGTTGCTCGAAGTGCAGCAGAAAGCAACTCTAGCCTCTTGAGTGCTCTCCAAACTTCCCAAGTGCTCAATATCTTGACATACACACTGCTGAAACTTGAACTAATTTGTTTTATAACAATATCAAAGTAATCAATGCAGCAGTTAACTTAAAGTGATATTTTGCAGTGCACTAAAAGCAGTACTCATCAATGTCTATGTGACTAAGCTTATATTTTTTACCTATACTTTTGTTTTATCTTGAAACTGAGAGAAAGCTTTCTCAAGTCGTTCAAGATAATGAAACATTTAAAAAGAAAGTTCTTTTAAAATGAAAAGTTCTTTTTGAGAGAAACAAGTTTGCAAAGAATGATTTGCACATGCCATAGCCCTAACAGCACTCGCAGATGACAACAACACTTACATTCTGTACCTCTTTTGCCTACTATCGGTTAACAAATTCAAAAGTTTTCTCTAAAATTTATGTTATAAAACACACGGTAAATGCTTCATCGTCAGGGCTGTCATTAAGTTTTGAAGCAGCTGTCGCAAAGAAGATTCACCCGTAACATCAAGTGAGCTCATCCGTAACAGGTGTTACCGGTTATGGCCCTTAATGACAGCTCATGTACTGTTAAGTTATGGATGCACTTGGGAGACATCTTGGGAGGATTGCTATAAGCTCACAAGAACTTGAGGTACAGTTTATTGACGTCATCAGCGTGCTCAATGGGAATATGTAGCACACTCGTGCTATTGAATTTGATTAGGAGAATATTCTAGCTATGTCATAATGAAATAAGTAAGAGGCAAGTTTCGTTTTGTAAATATCTCTACCAAAATGGAAGCGACTGAACAGGGTGTTCCAACCTTGCATACCACTGGAAGCAATCATTCTCTCAGTTTGGCTTCTGTAACTGCTTAATTAATTTTTGTTTCTTTGGTACATCTACATGTACATGTAGTTGTAGTTCTCACAAAAATATTGTTAACCCATAACCAGTGAGTTAGATAAAAATTACCAACGGCTTAAAAAAAAGGGTTTGACTCTGTGCTGGCCAGTCAAGCAGTACTGTAACCACATGTAATAAAATGAACAAGACTGCAAATGGGCGTGTACTCATTATGAATCCAATGGAGAATTTCTAACTAGATCAGAAGTCACTTGGCATTTGACTTAATCAGGAGCCCATAACCCTATGGGCTCCTGACTTAATGCATTCCTTCATTATTTTGGAAATTTACGTGTATTTCTGTCCTGCTTCTGCTAATGTTTACTGATTTCTTCTCCACTCAGACTGAGGCACCTCTCATGGTCAGGCCTTTCCTTGAGCACGTAACAATGTCTGAGCTTCATGCCATAATGACTGGAGGTTTTGCGACCATTGCTGGGGGTGTACTAGCAGCATACATTGAATTTGGAGTTTCAGCTTCCCATTTGTTAAGTGCCTCTGTGATGTCTGCCCCAGCTGCTCTTGCCATCTCTAAGTTAATGTATCCTGAAACAGAAATACCAGAGACTTTGAATGAGGATGAAATTGATCTTCCTAAGGGGTTAGTCTTTTGAACATGTCATTATGTGTTCACAGGTTTGGTTTCCTTTCTTAGGCAGTGGTCACCTTTTTCCTTTTAGGTCATTTCCAACAATATATTTTACACTGATATGTTTCCTTTGTTTGGACTCTCCATGTGGTCTGAAGATTTGGAGTTGAACCCCTTGATTTCTCCCTGTACGTTCCTTCTCTTAGTTCTGTCAAGATGGCTCTTGTGCACACTTGTGTAGTGTATTATACATCAGTGCTCCAAGCTCAACATTTTTCAATGTGGCCTTTCGGCGACCTAAAGTTATGTCACCAGACATAAAAAATTGGTTGCCAGAAAAAAGGGACACTCTCTGCAACACTACGTGGATGTTTGAAAGAATCAAAATGGCTGCCCAACCATCGTTATCGAATTTGGAGGTGCACGCGATATATCAATGCTTTATACCCAGAGAACCAGCGGGAAATTAGGCAAATTATCAGGAAAACAGAGCATACATTATATTTAACACAAATTTTATCTTAAAAAGACCATAAACACTAACTGCTAGAAAAAACGCATCTCGCAAAATGTCGGGAATTTCTTGGGAATAGCTTGGCAGATGATCGCTGAACACAGGTCACTAAATTGGCGACTTTCATGGCAATTTTAGTCGCGAATTTTTTTTTTACTCACCATGGCAACCAAAACGGTCTCAGCTTGGAGCACTGTACATGTAGTTACACTGCATTCTAACTTCTAGAATTTCTTTTATGTTGCGTGAACTGTAGTGACAACATATTTAAAGGCTCCAGTTTTTTTAGAGGAGTCAGGGCTGTCACTAAGATTTCACATTCCAGGCTATGCAGTAATGCATGTAGAACATGGGATATTGAACCAATTAGGAATTTATTTCAGTTGCCAGCAGTAATGCTCATAGTTGCAAGGAAGTTCTGACTCATGGCCCTTAATGACAGCTCTATGGAGTCCAACTGAATTTAAAGGGTAAGAGAAATCCGAAACCCAATTCATGTTTGTGTTATTTTATTTTGTAGGAATGAAAGAAATGTCATTGAAGCCGCTGCCAAGGGTGCCTCTACTGCCATTGCTTTAGTTGCCAATATTGCTGCCAATTTGATTGCATTCCTGGCATTTCTTGCATTTTTCAATGGAGTGTTGTCATGGTTGGGGTCCATGGTTGGGAAACCAGAAGTTAGTTTTGAGGTTAGAACTTTATTTCTGATTGTTGCTGTAGAGCGTCTGTAATTGTGGGAGTGTAAAAGTCTATGGCTGTCATTTCTGCCATCATTTGTGTTAGCCTTAGCAGAGAACTGTTAATTAGAGCAATTTATTATTTGAGGTTGTTTTTCTCACTAGTTCTTTCATATACTTAAGACAGGTGTAAGAGTAAATTTCACTTCACCTCTTTCATTCCTTACAGTACATTTGCTCCTATGTTCTTCGACCCGTTGCCTTCATCATGGGTGTGGAATGGCGAGACTGTGATGTTGTTGCTGAATTGCTGGGTATCAAAACCTTCCTGAATGAATTTGTTGCATATGCCAAACTTTCTGATTACATAAAGAACCGACAGCTTGGCAATGGCTTGCGTACCATTTCGGTGAGTCCTTGACCTTTTCCCCTTACAGGTTCATTGAATTTATTAGAGACCTTTAGCATAAGGTTTTTTTATGGGAAACCACAAACTGCAGTTTGCAGTTATACATTTGCAGTTTCACATTGCCAGGATTTCAAATTTTAGCAAGGCATTCATTTTTTTAGTGCCACCATGTTGTTAGGGGTAATTCATTAATTCATTTTATTTGAGTTAAAAAATCCAACAAGCACATCGCAGACGGATAAAGAAAACTACTTTGTGCCTTTAAACATGAGGCTGTACAATTTTTAGTGGGAAAAAAACCTTGCCATAAGTCGCTTACAGCTGGACGCCCTTCCTGCCCTTCAAGTGTGAACTGCAAACTGCAAACTCGACTGCTAAACCATAGTCACGTGACATTCTCGGGTTTGCGGTCTTCCATGAAAAACCCGGTGCTAAAGGTCTCTAATGTGTAGTCTGCAATTTTGTAAAAATAATTGATGGCGATTTTTTCAGGTACTTTTGTAGCTTATACACACTACTAGGCTTTGGTTGACATCTTGGAATGTAATACAAGTAGCACAGTTTACTTTTATCATAACGTTCCTGTAGAAAACACTTTTGAAATAACCAAGTTTATGAACATGGTTGTTGTAAAATAATTTGCATCATGGTCGTAGGGGGAATTGTGAATTCCTCTGAGATTTGCCTTGGATAATGGGCAATATTGACATTAAAGTGTTTTCAAAAATTATTTTGTCAGGGTAGCAAACTGCAGATCAGGCTTCAGTGTGATGCATTCTTTGTAAAAAGCATTAAAACCATTCAAACAAAAGTGTTGTGCTAACAGTAAATTGGGCTACTACATGATAAATGTAAGTTCAAACTTGATGTACACTAGGTGATGTTATGCAGCAGCAAATTGTGGCAACCACCTCATCTACATGTACTTCTGTAATGTCCGAAATACATTATGACTTTTATGTCCTGTTTTGTCTTTGACTGTTTGAATGATACCATTGCATAATAGAGGCCACATTTTGTCCCTGTGACAGCCTTTTGGGTGTGTCACATGGGGGAAACTGTTGCCATGACAATTAAACTGTTGCAATAGTTGCCTAGTGTGCATTAAGCTGAAATTGTACAAAGTAACTGGCAGGAGTAAACAGCCAAGGTAAGTGACATATAGCTGTAATTATTTTGCCCCTGCTGGATTCCTGCTGGTGATATCTTATTAGTGGTGAACAGGAGTGCATGTGACTGCTGCTCTCAAAGTGGATGATACCAGATTCCAAGCAAAATTGCTATTCACAGGAACTGGCGAGTTCAAGAAAGCCTGGTGTGCGGTTTTAATTAACACCTAAATAACGTTAAGCAAAATCAAAATACACATTAATGTATGAAAAGCAATTAAGACAGAATCCATAAGGAAATTGATTAATTTTAATTTTTAGTGGAAAAACCTTGTACCAGAATGTTATAAGCAGAAGGGTGCGATTAGTGCTAAATGGAGGAGCTTTTGATGGAATCGTAAAATAGCACACTCAGTTTTAGAATAGTAGAATCGGAAAAATCAGAAGAAACATACAATCGGAAACTTGTTTTTAATCTTCAGTTGTTTTAAGACTTCATTTCTAAGTAGCATTCGAAGAAATCTGTAGTGCAACTAAATCAGTTGTACTATTTTTCCGATTTAGCATTTATTGCACTGCTCTCATGTCACATTCTTTTTTACACTTTTCAAGAGCTATAAATCTTAGTGCAGTAAGTTATATGTATATGAAATAACTCCGAGAAAAGGTTCTCATAGGAGCCTGAGAAAATAATTTCAAATTTCACAGGAATTGAGAAAACACAGGTAAAATCGTCATGTGTAAGATTTTATTTTGCGAAATTTGGACTTTTTGAAGTTTGTTTTCTTGGGCTCCTGTGAGATTCTTTCCTTTGGAGTTATTTCATAATTATAACCTATTACATTTATAGCTCTCAAAAAAAAGTTTAAAAAAGAATGCAATATGATTGAAATTATTCAGGTTCAAGGTTTTTGTCTGCTGAAAATTAAAGTGTATTCAATTTTCTAATGGATTCCGTCTTCTTGTGCTGTCCTGCAGTTGTCAACCAATGATCTGAATGCATCTTAAAATGTTCATACCAGCATAAAAAAATAAATTTTTTGGACAGCTTATTGTTTGGATGTGTTCTCACCCCTCCCTCCAGTCAATAGGTTATGATCAGTGGCTGTCTTCTGTTTTAAGTGATGTTGGCATTGAATGGGGGAGAGTGGGTAACGAGAACACACTGATTTGTTCCAGAATTTTTATTGTGCAAGGCATAAATAATGAAATAATGTAGCTGTCTAAAGCTAACTGTACTTAAGCGTTTACGGTAGATATTAGACTTAATAATACATCTTAACTTAAGAAGTTCTCTGGCCTCTTTTCATTCTTTTAAAACTGCCCTTGTTAACAGTAAAATAAGGGTGTAATTGATTGTCCCAGAGTAAAAGAAAATTTGTATTGTTGAAAACTGTACCAGTTGCCTGAAAGGAGTAGGAACAAGTGAAAGCTAGTTGGGTGTGCATGACTGTGAAGGGCGTATGACCTTTTCATTCTTGTCTACCCAACTTTCTATTTTCCTTTGCCTTTCTAGTATTTAATCCCTGGCCAATGTGCATTGTTACAACCATGTAACAATCTTCTTGTTTATCTTGTCCTGGAATATGCCCAATCAGTGTAACTCCAGGGTGTTTTTACTGTAACAGTTGCATGTACTTTGTACTCATTTACAGATATGTATACACATCATGTCTAAAACACTGTTTATTTCTCAATGTGTAAGTTTCAAATTCTTGAACAGGTTTTCTGTGCATGCAAGCCAGTGTAAATAAAGCAACAGTTTCCATAGTCTGCTGTGGTAAAAAGCAAAGGATGGCATAGCATGTTTAAAGCTTTGAAGTTGGCAAATGCATGCTTAAAGCATTATGCTTGATCTCTGCATGCAGTAACAAATACTAAGATTAAGTATAATGAACTTTCTTGCCATGTTTTCTTGAAGAAGGCAATCTCTCTTAATTATTAACCGAGTTGGATTTAACTGAACCTTTTCTTTTCAACAATTTATGCTAACTGCTCTTAACGATTTTAATGTTTATTTTCTTGCTAACAGCACAAAGTTACTCGATTTTAGACACTCGATTGTAAGTATTAAGTATTAAATATTAATGCCATTAACAGTTTAAAAACAGCAATTTACCCTGCTTCCAATATTACTGATTTGTTGTTTTAATAGGAGTTAAAGTTTAATATTAGTTTTAAAAACTTTTTTGCATTAATTATTGCATTGTTTGATATTTAGGTATTGCAATTAAATATTAAAAAAATGTAACAATAAGGTAACAATATAATTATTAAATAATTACTAATAAATAATGATTTTCAAAATCAACACTTTACCTCTTGCTAGCATCCTTTAATATGTTTGATATTCAGGTATTCAAAACGGATATAAAAATGTAAAAATAGGGTGTCATTATAATTAATAATAAAAATATTAATGATTTTCAATGTCACCACTTTACCTCTTGCTAATATCCTTTAGCATGTTTGATATTCAGGTTTTGGAAATAAATAATAAATAGCATTAATGATTTTCAATATCAATACTTTACCTCCTGCTAATATCCTTAAATATGTTTGATATTCAGATATTGAAAATAAATATAAAAATATAACAAATAATAATGGTAACTCAAGGTAATAAAATAAGAAAATGATTTTCTGAATAACAACATTTTACCTCTTGCTGATATCCTTTAACTTGTTTGATATTTAGGTATTGAAAATAAATGTAACAAATGGTAACTAAAGGTCAAGAAACAAAAAATAATGATTTTCCGAATAACACCATTTCACCTCTTGGTGATATCCTTTAACATGTACTTAAGAATTAAAGACGTTTTTAAACTGTACCAAAATAATCCTCTCTTTTACATACATGCAAGGCTCTAAGGGGCTATATTTGCATAAGCATAAGCATTTAATTATCTATTTGTCGTTTATAAGAGGTTGCTTTGAATTTTAACTTGATGTAAAATCTTTATTTCACGGCTTTAAATTCATAATTGCTTACAGAAAATCATGACATATACACATACTGAAATTTCTGAGATCCAATTAAGACATCCTAAAACTTTGATTAATCAAACTTTACTCCTTGCTTTCTAATGAAGTAATTTTGTTCACATGCTACACAAATACAGGATATTAGATAAAGAAGCATCTTTATTTTAATCATGGAATTTACATCTTGAAATGAATGTAAATTTGGTTAACATACCTAATTCGTTTTAATGATTACAAAATTTGAGGAAAAAATTTTTCAATAGTATTTTTTAAACTAAATTTCTCATAAATTTATTGGTCAATTATTTTGTAATTGAAACTAAGTATGTGACGAAAAGAGGTGATCATAAAAGACATAACCTTATCATATTGTAAGCTTGTTAATGTTGTAAATGTTAGCTTCTGTACTAACCGATTTAATGTCCTAAAGCCAGACTAAATACCTTAACATTCAAAAAAAATTTTTTTAATGAAGTGTAATGTCATATATTATATTTTTTATATTAGGCACCGTGTTTTCAGCTTTGCCTTTTTTTTGTTAAATAAGTTAGCATAATAAGGGTCTATTCATAATTTATTGTATCTACCAATAAAGTTTTCATTATCTATAACTGTTTGAAAACTCTGTTCAAACTTGAAAAAGTGTTAAATCTTAAGCATTTTATGAATAATTGTACTGTTTACAGCATAGCAATATTTTTTAAAGAAGTTAACCAAAGTTAAGTTAAAACAATATGATAAGTTTAAAGTGAATGACTCCTTAATTCTAGTTGGAGACAAGCAGCTTAATGTGGCTTTTGACATATTTGCTCAAACCTGTTTTTCTATTTAAAGTCAAATATATTGTTAAAGTATGACAAGAGTTGGAAGCTTATCACCACTATTAAATCAGAGATGCAGGTGTATGCATGTATATTAATAATGTCTTCCACATAATTATAATTTTAACTGTTTTCTTATCATACATTGTAGTTTAGAGTTTTTAAATGGTTCCACCTCCTCCCTACTGCTATCAGGGTCAAGTTGATGAATAGATAAAGAGAAACAATATTGCTAAACCAAAATTTAAAGGATTCTGAATCTTAACAATTCTGACATTATATTGTGTTAAGATAAGAAAATATCTAAAATAATGAACTGGATTAATATGCTTAACTCATGGTGCAAATAAACTGCTGTTTTTGCTGCTGTTGTTTATTGTGGTAATTATTCAAGTGCATCTAAATGCTATAAACAGTGATGTTCAGCAACTACTCCAGACTTTCTAAGTGACAAGGTAAAGCATGTTTGATGTATCTGTACTGCATTTTTAACAAAAGTTAAACTTAGGAAATTAAAAACCACTGAACTTGATAACTTTTTTTTTCTTTAAGTTCAGTTCTGATAAACTGTGTGGGACTCTTAACTTCTTGATACTTGGATTCTGTGACTTTTAACTTGAAAAGTGTGAACTTTGCTAATGATATTGCATTGCACAAACTGAAGTGAAAATAACTTCTGTTTAACTGTTCAATGTTCCTTTAATACACGTTTTGCACAAAGAGTAGTTTACTAGGAATAATCATAGTAAACTACGAAAAAACTAATTTTAATATGTAATGGCGCACTGTCATTATCTCTATTTTCACTTGCCATTAAAGTGAAAATAACTTCTCTTAAAGTGTTCAATGTCCCTTTGATGCACTTTTTGCACAAACAGTAGTTTACTAGGAATAATCAAAGTAAACTACGAAAAAACTAATTTTAACTTGTAATGGCACACCATATCAAGGGTTAGCTCTTTCCGCCTTGAGTATCATAATGAGCCCTATGTTTGGAAGTCTAAAATTAATGTGCATGACTTGTCTTGTAGCAAGAGTAAAGTTCATTTTAGTCTTGCTGCTGCATGCTTTTTCTTGCTTGTTATAAATTTTTGCTGAGGTGGTCGAGCCCTTAAATCCTTCCTTGGAAGTTCCTTTTTATGGTGTGCCCTTTTATTTTAACCCTTTCACTCCCAAGCAAGAGTATGGTCACAAATCCAGTACTAAGATCCAAATTTCAGTGCAAGTAAATACTTGTATCCTTAAACACTGCTGATCAGAGAAACTTTCATATCAATTGTCCCATCACTATGATTTCTTCCACGGTCTTGAACTGCAGAGTTGCAGTATATTCCCCTTAATATTTTGCTTGGAAGTTAAAGAATGTGAGTCATACTCATCCTATTAATTCCTGTTCATTACTTATATTAATTTTTTGTTTATTACCTGCTCACTGACTTGCCATTTCACGTCGATTATCTCGATCACCGTTGTTCAACTACTTTCTCTTTTTGCCTTATACTGACCATTTTTTTCACTTATATTTTAATCCTTACGAGAGATGTCTGCCGATATTGCTCTTCTTTTACTCTGAGGTTTATTTTGTCTCACTGAGTAGTTTTCTCTGCTCCTTATCTAACCCTTCTAACAGATTCGCTCAGAGATTATAGCGACATATGCGTTATGTGGTTTTGCCAACTTCGCCTCTATCGGAATCCAAATTGGTGGCATGGGGCCACTTGCGCCATCAAGAAAACCAGACATGGCTCGTGTTGCTCTACGTGCACTGGTTGCAGGTACCGTAGCCTGCTTCATGACAGCATGTGTTGCAGGTGAGATATATGTTTTTGCTGTTGTTTTATTTAAACAGATTCGTTCTGAAATCATTGCCACGTATTCCCTGTGTGGGTTTGCAAATATGGGCTCTGTAGGGGTTGTGCTTGGTGGACTCGGTCCCATGGCCCCAGACAGATTGCCCGATATGTCCAAGATAGCAATCAGGACCCTTGTTGCCGGGACTGTGGCTTGTTTCATGACTGCATGTATGGCAGGTGAGGTGTCTGTACAGCATTGAGAAAGCAATGTCTGACCCTGTACAACGGGGAATTCCAATCAATAGTCAACAAAGATAAGAGAATTATCCTAAAATGCAGATATTGTACTAAGTTTCTTATTGTTGGTCATCATTGGAATGGTCTCAACATAGGGTCTTGTCCACAATGTCAAATGTCACATGTTAAGTTCAGCTGTATTGATTCTGGAAGTAGAGTATTTTTATGCCGAAGTCAGGAAGGCAAGTAGCTTTCACTCCCTGTGTCAAAGGCAATTGTCATAACCTTCCCTGCTTGTTGATGCTCCTGTAGAGAACTGCAGACGTGACTTCAGAGACTGGTTAGGTCTTCACTAACCATTCACCGCCAAAGTGGAAAGACTGTTGCCAATTGCACCTTTATTAGTGGGGCATGTGCAGAAAAGTCATTTTTGTGTTGCCGGGCATAGCTCAGAGATGAAGATCTGAGATGGAGCCATATTAACCCTTGTTTTCCTCATGTTGTCATCATATCATTTACCTGGCCATGTTTCTGCAAGAGTTTCCTCGTTTGCTATGGCCTCAGTGTCTGCTATAATAGAAGATTTCCTCCATACTCATGGTTGTGATTTGGAATATAGTCTTAAATTACTGTACTGTGTTCTGGTGTCAAACTTTCATCCTTTTTGAGATCTTGACACACGTGATATGCCATGTTACATTTCTTTTCTGTTTAAAAGCTTGTGTAGGAAAGTTAAAAACAGTCATGAATGTCTCTTGGAAAGACCATTCCTAAGACTGTTGAAGGAGAATGAGAATGGCTGGACTAAGGGGGGTGCAGAAAAGTTCAATATGGCGATGATGATGCATGGAAAACGTTTATCATAGAATACTGCTAATGGTGTTACCTTGCATTATGCTTAGGATTCCTGACCTACTCCTGAAAACAATATGGTGTACTGTAGGTATTTGACTGTCTTTGTATTACTGCGTAAATCAGTAACTAAGCTTTCTGTTTTCCTCCTCAGGTGTTCTTTATGATGAGACATTGTATGAAAGTGCAGTTGGTCTTACAACCACTGCTGCCACCATCAATGGCACAGTAATACCAACCACAGTCTCTTAATTGTAGTGTACATCTTTTCTGTTAATAGCTTAGTAACTTTAGTCTTTGGGAGTCGGGGGTAGGATTAATTTTGTCATGTAACAAATGATATAAGTACTTTCCTAGATGTATCGTGAGATCATTATGCTATCAAACAAGTCAGTCAGCAATTTTTATCGGGAGTGGGTGTTTGAAAGCCTGTTTACACTGTGCAATTGTCTCAAAAGGAATGTGCTTGCAGCAAAACTACAACCCGAATCCTATCATGCAAATCAAGCAACAGCAATTGCAAATCAGTTTTAGGACTGATATACAAATTGCGATTCGTGTTGTAAACGTATCGCAAGCACATTACTTGTGACTTAGTTGTGCTTTGTAAACTGTTTAAGTTTGAGAAATTATCCAAAGTAGTATCACAAGAATTATTAAGGACAAAAAGTGTTTGCACCACCAATACTTTTGATCTTTCTTGCTCCTGTGTGTTTAATGAAAAGCATCTTTTTTTTAAACAAGAGTTAAACAAGGGTAATTGGTTTCCTTTCTTATATTTTTTATTATTTCATTTCGCAAGTATGATTTGTTTATTCTTACGCATTATTTATGCTGAAATAGAGACATTTTTTTACCAAAATTCCACCAGAAAATCGTTTTGAAATACCCATAATAGCTATCGTTTTCTCAAGCAAAACGTCATTTTATACTTAATTGTAAGTAACAAATGTTATTTAGTGTACTCTCTTGTAAATAAAAGTATCTTCACGTGATACGTTGTAATTTTCTCGGTCAGGTATAAAAGTGTGGGCTCATAGTGGTATATTTGTAACAAACGCACCACACTTCCCTCCTGCATTTCACCATTCTTCTGCATTTCACTGGGCAAAGTAACTAATCCTAGTTTTGCGCTTAAAGACGTTATTCACGATACCCGCCATCTTTGCGCGCGCTTTGGGACTGATGGGATAAAGGCGATGCCATGTTGTATTTCGGGGGGGAGGGGGGTGGGTGGCGCAAATAAATAATAAAATTTGCCGATGGGGAGTAATCGCGGTCGAATTTTATTTTTATATCAAAACAAGACGATAATTTAACAGTCACGCAAAATGAACAGCTCTAGTGTCAACAGAAATTAGGTCATTATTGTTTGCTGCTAGGACATCTGCAGTTGCTGTTGTATTCAGAAAGGTAGCAACATGCATTTTTAACCATCATTTACCATTATCGTCTTTAACATGAAAGGTTCTGTATTTTTTTGTCGTCTAGAATAAGCAAACTCGACAGCCATTTCTTGCACTTGCAATTTCTTTTCACTTGTTTGCCCCTAGACCTATTCGGCTAACTCAATGTTGTACCCAACTGACCACTCCAGAAAATACCATAACATACCATAATACTCTTAATTAGTAACTCCAGCATTTTGCATAAGCATTGTCTTTAGTTTCTCTTGGGAGTTAAAATGGCCCTAAGAGAAACTGAAAACAATGCTTATGCAAAATTTTGGAGTGACCAACAAAGAGTATTATGGTATGTTATGGTATTTTCTGGAGTGGTCAATTCAAACCCTTTGGGAACAAGTTGTTTTGTTTCAGGAATTTCCATATCATTTAAATGTGAATGCCGCATAACGCAAATACAATACACAAAGAATCTTAACCCCGGGAGATTTGAATCTGGTACAACACTGAGTTAGGGCCTGTTAACATGGAGTGGGGGACCCCGATCTGGTGGGGTTGGTTTCTTTTGTTTTCATGCTCTGGGGGACACAAAACAAAAGAAACCTACCCCACTAGACCGGGTTCCCCCACTCCATGTAAACAGGCCCTTAGCCGAATAGAGTGTTTTCAGATGATGTTACGGAGGTCATATTGGTGTCCCAAAAACAATGAAACGGCCGCCAAGTTGGTGTCCCAAACCAATCCTGTGGGAGTTGAACTCTTTTCTTACGCAAATGCTTTCTTCTGTTCCGATAAATTTGCATAGATGCTGGCCGCTTGAGTGAAAACACTCTGGGTGTATCAGTGTTTAAGCGAGTGCATTGATGACGGGTATCGTGAATAAGGTCTATTTCTCTTTGGACAATAAACGTGTAACCTTGCACGCAGATGTTCTGATTACACAGTGCTCCCCAGCGATAGAACGGGTGACGAATCCTAAATAACGTCTTTCAGAATAGGCCACTTTCGATATATTAAAGCTCAGCATGATGGCGACTCTAAGAGGACACAAACAAAGAAAATTGATAAACATGTTTATTCAGTGTTTTTGGTAGAGGACGCAAGCAAAGGAAATGAATAAACATTACTCATTTACTTTGTGTCCTCCAAGTATCGCTGTCATGCTGAATTTTAATATATCCAAAGTGGCTTTTTGCTGCCCAGTTGACTTTTATTTGTATTCAACTATCATGCCTATAGACACTTAATGTAAACCTATCAAAGTCCTGAGATTTTGATAGTCACATAAATGTTTTGATAGTCTAAGGTTGTGATATTTGCATACTCTCGTTATGTATCCAAATAGCATGCCTCTTCACACAATGTAACGGTATCAAAGTTCTGAGATTTTGATAGTTACAATTACAATTAGTATCTTGATACGGTATTTCCAAATAACAAACCTTTGCGCGATCTAACCCTATCAAAATTGTTCAAAATTGATATATTTTGATGGTTGACAGAATCAATAATAGTCTGATAATATGATAATAATCTGATGTTATCATATCTCAAAACAGCAACCCTTGATGCTCTTCAGACCTTTTACTCCATGCAGAATATGAAAATATCATTGCCCTCTATGGTCTATCGATGTCAAAGTATACTATCAACATTCATTTTAATGTCTCACCTCACTCGACATCTTTCCTGTGTTCGTTGCCTTCAGAAATGTAGTTCGCATTTGCCTTACAGTTTCTCTTTTAATTAAGGATTACTTGACCGCGTGCGCTACTCTTTCCACCCGTGTCTCGCGCAGTGTGCTTGCTCCCCCACCCCTTAACGTCCCAATGATGCTGATGTTCACGCTACAGAGAAACTATATATTAGGGCATGCTTCCCAAGCATATTAAAGTAGACCATCGAGACCTGTGGAATGAAAGCAAAATAAATGATACTTTCCAAAATAACGAATATAAGTTTCCGCAAAGTCGAGAGTCATTCGTTTGTATGGTTGAGGCAAGTTTGTTCGTTCTCTCACTTTTGACTAGCCTGTTCCAGGCTCCGAGATAGTCGGGTCCGCTGAATTGAAAAAGCGCAAACACGAAAATAAAACGGGAGGAAACTTACCCGCCCCGCCAACTTTCCCCGTGCCTTTTTCTTTCGCGTCTCCCCACTATCTGAGAGCTTGGAACAGGCTAACTTTTGACATAATGACTCTCAATCTTGGCAAGTTAACTGATTTCAAGGCGCTCTTTCCGGCATTCTTGGAGGGGTTTCTTTCTAAAGAAACGTTGGAGAATTAAAGTTTAAATGTGACTTTAGTTTTATCTACTTATTTAATCTTCTCATCCAACTTATTTATTATTCTATTTTTGTTTTAAATGTTCTCACCAGATTGTATATAGCTCCAACATCTGTATATAATCCACACAAAATCCACAATCTCCTGATTCGCTCTGGCGGAGGGCTAGACATGTACCGGATAATTATTTACTCCACTGTCCTAGGTGTTCCTCTCATAATGGTTTTTTAAGTGCCGCATGTCAGTTTGGTGAAATAGAAATAATATAAAGTAGAGAGATGTTGCCTAATGTTTCAAATTAAACATTTGCAGAATGACCTGTTATCATTGTTTCTTTAATCAGTATTAAGAATAAGTCATATGGCATATACAAGCTAGTAATGATACTGTAAAAACCCGCGCCTTAGAACCTGCATTTTTTCAAGTTATCCTAAACAGGTTCTTACATAAACGGTAATCAGCACAAATTTTTGCTACGTTGGTTCTTAAATGTGATTCTTATTTTCTGAAGAAAAAAATACATTGAATTTAAGAGTATTAAGTGTTTTTTTCAGCTTTTTTTCGTATATAAAATCTGCATGCCATTATTATATTGCAGTTGGGGTGATAAGATACAGGATTCTGAACGTTGGCTATCTTATTTGCCCAAGTGTACAGAATTGTTTTTATAGATTTTAGAAACAGGTTCTTGTATAGAGGGGGCCTAACTGGCAAATTTTTGCCTAACAGGTTCTAAAATCGACCAGGTTCTTAGGCGCCGGTTTTTGGCTGTATTCACGTAGACTCTGACTTCACAAGCAACAGACTATTACGTACAGCTGACTATTTTATTTTTTAGCTGGTAATTTAGGCTTTCCAACAATTTGGTGGCCATCAGAAATATAATTTCAGATTGCGTCACCGTTACTCATGACGAAGTTTTGAGATCTTTTAACATGTTTTTTTTTTACAATTTTTTTAAAGAACTTTGATGGGTTCCACATAACACAGAACCAGTCAAAATCAATGTTGATTTGGAAGTGGGGTCGTTATTATCAAGGATTACAAATGTAAAACTTATCAAAGCTGTCAACAGCTGTTTCGAAAATTGTCAAAACCAATTAAATTCCAGTAGTGATGCAATCTGCACTATCTGTTGACATTATACGATTTTGGAATGTTCTAAATCTTTTAGTATCTTCATTATTGAAGAGACTCAAGGAATTATTCGTTTTCTTAGGGAAACCTTAGTAGAATGACAATTGCAAAATTTTAATAATAGATATTAGTACAATAGTAGGTATAGTATTACGTATAGGGGTCGCACTGTCGTTGACAGTGACTGACATCTCGATCCACACTCATTGCGGTAGTCAACAGCAGAGTCACAATAAGTTGTGTGGGACTATCCTCAGCTGATGATATTTAACTCTTGTTATTGACCAATCGAAACGCAATGGTATTGGCAGCCTGTCAGTGAAGCTTTGATGTTATTGGCTGTTAAGAATCTAGACTATTGCAGGACGATCCACCTACTTATGAGATGATTCTTGGGTTTAAACCATTTAAAATAAAAATATATGCCG